CCCATGTTAAGGAAGGACGGATGAAAGTCTCAGCTGAACTCACTACTTTTTGTAATTAGATTAAATAATTATTTGGGCTCCAAATCATGTTTTAGCTTACTTTCCCACAAACATTGGCTAATATGTTGCATCATTTTCAGGTGGACTAATCACCTAATCAATCTTATAAATCCATATTGATCATTAGACCTAATCACTATATGTTTTTAAATAGCATCAAAATTAGCAATGTAACCCCAAACCAGTATATCTCAGACCTAGTCTTATCTGCTACAGATAATGGAACTGTGAAAATTTGGGGCAAGAAAGCATCTCTTAGTGGTGTGAATTTGTTGAAACATCTCATCATAATTCCTTCCTGTTTAATCTCAATCACATTTGCTTGCAGTTTAAGGATTTCATTTAATTTTTCTGATGCATATGAAATGTATCTCAAATTGCTTCATAAAATATTGATTTCACTAATTTTTTCATTACATGAAAAAAAATGACATCCTAATATTAAAGAAAAAATCAGATATTTTTAAACAATTTTCTTTGGAATACCATCTTATTTCCAGATGTAAGATAAGTCAAACTCCTTTTCACAGTGGCTGCAAAGATCACAAAATAATTTTTTTTCAAGGCATTAATTTTATTTTTATTAATAGCACTGATAGCATTCATTGATTTGTGGATCATTCATTAAGGTTTTTGGTTACTGAAGTTGTCAGTGAGTAATTCAATAACTTGCTAATATGGCTGTTGCTGCTTTTAAGTTGTTTATAAACCCATGTCACAGCTGACCACAACTGGTGTTCCATCTGTTCCACAATGATATTGGAAAAGGAAAAAAAAAAAGCTTCCTGTGAAATAATTTTTAAGAATTGCAAAATTCCACAACTCTTAATATCCAGTCTGTATATATGGAAATAAATTTTCTGTTTAAGGTTTTTATTCTCATGAACCTTACATTTGTGTAAGAATCATCAAAGCTTCATTATCATACAAGTTACTTGGCATTCACTTGCAACAAACATTCTTCTGTCTGTAGATCATTTCATGGGCCTACTTTCAACCTCTTTGGATTTCTCATAGATCCTTCTATGTACAATATTATTGCTCAACAGGATAGAGGAAATGCTTTAAATTTCTTAGTGTCATAATAATAATCTCCTATACAGCTGGTAAAATTTTTTTGCTATGGTACCTTTTATTCCTTCAGATCTGATTAAAAATAAACATTTCAGGGACAAGACTATGATTCTCAAACTTACTTTAAACTCTTAAGTTTCTATCTTTGCCAGCTCTGTGTCTTTCTTTATAAAATATTCACTTAGTCTTGATGGGTTCATTTAGATAAAATTAGAAAAAAACTATGTTGTCAGTATGTACACTTCTAAATATTCAACTGAATATTCTCAACACCTTTTCCTAATATTTAACATTATACATAGTATTTTTTAAATAAGGACTAAATCTGTACATCTTTATGAAAGATACAGAATCACTAAGAATGTACCAGCCTTAAATGTAAACTGACACTGGTGACTCAGATGTAAATGAGTAGGGTTGTTGTTGATGGTGAGATTTTTTGAATGGCTGAACAACTCTTGATTAAGTTCCAAATAATATAATAGTATTAAAACAGTATAATAGTTATATTCTTGGAAAACTCAGCATGAATTAAAACTCTGCAAAGCACATGCACATCTTTACCTGTAAAATGGAATTGGTTCTAGACTCAAATACAGACTTTTAATTACATAAGAAGCATGAGGTGGGAGAGTCTTAAGTTGGTTAGGAAAGAGAACAATTTATTTTTTGGTGAATGGATATTGCATCTGGCATCCCTGGACCCCATGTATTATCCCTCAATTAACTGTGATAACCAAAAATACCCTTACGAATTTCCAAAGTGCTCCCTGCTCAGTAAACATCTATTATGAATACAACTGAGTCATTAAAAAGATGTAATACTCTTTAAAAAGCTCCCAGGCCTATTTGCTCATAAATAGTAGTTTCTCAGATGTTATATGCTGAAAGTGCATTTGATGCAGTTCAGAGGTTACTTTATCCAAGGACCATCAGTCCCACTCATCATCTACTGATTCCTCCAAAAGGTTGCTAACTAATATCTCTAGGAATTTGGAAAGGGGCTCCTTGGCCAGACTGCAGAATAGGATATGACCTATAACCTTAAAGCATAGTAGCTCTTACCTGTCCAGAACTTGATACTTTGGAAATTTGTGATTATTTTTGTTGACGTTGGCCGCAACTACTACTTAGAAATCATTAGGAAGAATTCCCCTCTGCCTCTGCTATGTGAAAGGAAAACTATGCCAAAGGCAGGGTGAAATATACAGGAAAGGCCCTTGTCAGGCGTGTTTGGTCAGCAACCTGCCCCCAGGACAGATAATAACAAGATTCTCTTTCTGGTACTTTAACCTTAGAGATGCCGTGATTTATTAAAGGGAGACAATGTCTTTACACCAAGAAACTCAAAATAGATAGGATACAACATTTTGTAAGACACATTCCCTGCCTGCTAGGGACTCACTCTTTCAAGCATGTAGCTATTACCTAATGCAGAAACATTCAACAGGACATCACCAGGGAAGTGATGATTCTTAGTAACTGACAGAATTAGCTCTCCATAATACAATCTAGAGAAGAGAAGGTGAAAATACAGGCCAGGACAACAGGGATGACATACATGAAGAGATCTGGGACTGTATGCTAAAGGTTGGGTGAATTACACTAGTGTGGGATTTCTCAACCTCACTCTTTGACATTTTGGACAGGAGAATTCTTTATCATGGGAGGCTGCCCTGTGTTGTAGAACCTGAGCAGCACCCTCAGCCTGTGCCTTCTAGATGCCTGTAATGGCCCCTCCCCCCAACTGTAACACCAAAAAGTCTCCAAATATTGGCAAGTCTCCTCTGGGGCCCAAATTGCCCTGTTGATAATCACCACACTGTTGATTCTCAGACCCACATGTACATACGGATCAGTTAAGGGCCTTACTAAATGATGCTTTAATAGGTCTGGGGTACAGCCTGGCACCCTCTAGGCCAAACAAGATCCCAGGTAAGGCTGATGCTGCCTGTCCTAGGACAACACTTGCTCCTTGGAAGACAAACCTACAGCCTTCTGCCAGCTAACTGGAACAGGTGCTCAGAGTGCAGATAGATGTATGTTCAAGGTACGGATCATTGAGAATATTTTTGAGCAAGGTCTGCATACCACATTATCAGGTATTTAGTTAAGAATGTTCACAGAACTGAACATAAATAAGTGAAGGGTTTGTTTTGTCTTTGTGTTTTAAAACGTCAGGACACTTTATCTTCTATTTCAGCAGTTCTCACACCTTCTGGTCTTGGGATCCTTTCAACATTTGCAAAAATAATTGAGAACTACAAGACCTTTGTTAACATAGGTTTAGATCTATTGGCACTAGAAATTAACTAATATTGGAAATTAATTAAGGAACAGAAAACACTTTAAATATCTGAAATTCATTTAAAAATAATAATATACCCATCACATATTAACATAACTAACATATTTTTATGAAAAATGACTGTACTTTCCTAAGCAAAAAATTATGGGGAAGAACAGCATTATTTTACATTTTTGCAAATGTCTAAAGTCATATCTGCTTCTGCTTTCAGTTTGTTGTGCTACGTTTGTTTTGACTGAAATAAATGAAGAAAATCGGGCCTCACACAGATGTATAGCTGGAAAAGGAAGCATTTAATAGTTGTTTCAGATAATATAGGTATCTTTTTTGATACTACACATAACAAGTAGTTTAAGGGTTAGTTGCAATTAGGGATCTGAGGCCGTATCAATGAACTTTTTTGTACGTTTCAGTAAAATGCATTGGTTTAATCTGCAGTTTGAACTGATTTTTTTAACTATGCATAATTTATACATCATGCATTGGTCAACTGAAAAATATTGGTTCAGAAATTTATGAGCCCGTCCAACTGTACACCAGAAATCTCCACTGTGTACTCCTGAGGGAACACGAGTAAAAAAAGACAGTGTATTTCTACTATTATTATGAAAATAAATTTTAGCCTTTAGAATCCCTAAATGAGTCAGGTGGTCCCAGCACGTCTAGAACCAGTCTTATGTTAATTTCATAGTCGATCAACAGCGTCTCCAAACATAAACTTTTAAAGTAACACTTTATTGCACATTTAGATGAAATCTAAAGGACTGTATTTTACTGATTTACAAATTCCAGATTTAGCACAATGCCTGGCCGTTATAAGCATTTGAAGTGTTTTTTTTTTTTTTTTTTTTCAGTATTCTGTACACAGTTTTTTAGCCTGTCCTTTACGTTTAATCTTGCGTTTGGTCAATTTTCCCGGAGTATATGTACTTTTAACGACTGCCTAATACAGATTTCATGCTCAACCGCATTTTAAAACCCTAAACTTTGCTTTTGCAACGAGTAATTTCATTTTGCAAGGGGAAAATTTTAAATATCCTGGGTACAGGACATCAGGGCAGTTTGGCGAGCGAGGCTGCTCCGTCGACTCGTCGCGCATGGGACTCCGAACCAGAGCCCGGGAAAGGCCGGGGGTCCCGCTCGGCGCTTTTTGTGGAGATTTCGGGCGAGACCGACGTGGGAAAGGAGGTGCTGCCACAGATACGGCTCTCGGGGACGAGAGCATCTCGCACTGGCTGGACCGCGAATTCGAGACAGTTCTGTCACCAGTCTGCGGAGCACGGGGGCCGGCCAGGAACCACTGAGCATGCGTGGCCCGCGCCGGGGAGCCCCTTCGCGGAAGAGGTTGGAGACCGCGAGGAATCCGCCGCACGCGGCTCCACGGGGCGTGGGGAGGAGCTGAGCACCAGCTACAAGAAATTACGCCCCCACTCCTTTCCCAAAGGACGCCAGCGGCCGGAGGCGACAGCCGCTCCAGCCGCGGACGAACTTCCCTTCCCATTCAGGAAGGGCGGGGACCGACGGCGCGGCGCGCCCCCACGGCCGCGCATGCGCCACTCGCAGGCAGCCCCTGAGGAGGAATCTAGTTGCCAGGTTCACCGCCCCGCCGGGAGTGCGCCTGCGCGGTCGCCTGGTCCCTCCACCTCCGCTTCCCCTCCCCCTGTCGCCCCGCGGGGGCTCCGGGTCCGGCGGGACCATGTTTACCGGCACCGGCTCCAGTGGGCTTTGTGAGTACCGGCCGCCGCCATCCTGGCTGTACCCTACACGCCACACTGGGCACCTCCTTCAGGAGGCTGGGGGCACCCGGGAGCCTCGGGTTGCAGGAGGTCTGGGGACCGACCCTCCATTCCGCACACGCACCTCGGGTCCCGCCAGTGGGGGAAAGCGAGCACCGTCTCCACCTAAGCCTGGAGCGGCCAGTTGGGGACAGAGTCCCGCCGCAAGCCCTGGCCCCCGCCTGTGAGCCCCAGGTGCGATGCTCAGGTGCTCCCGGGGCTGCTGCAGGTGGCTGGGCAGTTGGGGTCGGGCTGGGTGCCCTGGTCTGCAGGCCCGGCCCCTTGCCCTCAGCGGCGTGTGCCAGGCCGAAAGACGAGGCGGTCCTGGTGAAGCGGTGCTGGATGCCTGCCCCCTTCCCAGTCACCTTGCTCCATTTAGGCGACAGAGGGACGTACCTGGCTCTGCCCCCACACGCAAATTCCAACCTCTGCTTCAGGAGCTCACTCCTCAGGTTTACTAGAATTACTTTCTTTTCCGGTCTCCCGTAAGAGTTTTTAAGACAGACAAAAACCGATTAAAGTACTTTAAAGTGTGGAAGGAAGTTGAGAAGTCATTTGGCAAAAAGTGGGGACATTACTGCTGGATATTGCTTGGTATTTAACTTAAAGTGTTAGGGGCGGCCAGCAGATAGAGGACGGAGAAATATATGTATCCTTTGAACAACTTTTTCTCGCTGAAATTGTTTAATTGGCTTTTGGTCAGGTAGACTGTTAACTAAACAGCACTGAGATTAGGCATTGATACAACAGCGAATTGTTGCTTGTCATTGTTAGTACCTCATATCTTTAAATATGTGAAGTTAATCTTGGCCGAGTACAGAAATAGTTGTCATTTCCTAATATTAAAGATCTCTTGTGAATGTTAGGAATCTATTTCTGAGAATGCACGTCTTCCTCTGAGAGTGAGTTAGTATCAGACTGCAGGCATAATTTTAAATATGCGTCCTTTCTCAACTTTAAAGGTTTTTGAAATATAATATTTATGATTTCCCTTGTTTCATAATTGACTTGGTTTATTGCATCTTTCAAGCATTGGCCTCCAAGTAGGTTGCAACTATTAGTTAATTTGTCTTCCCCAAACTGCCCTTTGGATGAAGAACATTATGACTATTGAAACTGACACTCCAGAAGGTGGTATAATTTTCCTGGGGATTACACAGTGAGCCACATACACTGGTGGATACAAAATTAATGGTGGAATTTTTCAAATTTAGGTCTTTCTTTCAGCATTTTGAGCTATCCTTCCTCACTGACCAAAGTTCAGTGAACAAAAGGCAAGAGAAATCTGTTACTGATTACTGTATTAGCCATTACACCGGCAAAGTTTATTCAGATTTGATACAGGGTGACTGGAAGGTAATACTTGATCACTTATGGCACAAGATTGATGAGGATTGAATTGTAGGAATAAAACTGCTGCTCAGGGAGAGGCCTAGGCCAAGGGCTCCTCCTCAGCTGTCTTGCCCTGCAGCGTAAGAATTGATGGAATGGCTATTCCTCAGAAGGCCATGTCTTAATGTGCTCACTTCGCAACATTCTGAGCACCTCCTGTGGGGCTGGAAATGGTTCTAGGTGCTGGGGCCATGACACTGAACAAGTCTTAGTTCCAGTGCTCACAGTGGGGTTAAGGCACAGCTCTTTCAGAACTGCTCTTTAGCAAGTAGGTGTGAGCAGTTATCCTGCTTTAAAATTTTTCTTTACAAGGCCATCTACTGAGAGAGAAATGATTTCCTTTAGAGATGTTGTGTGGCTCTTTGGTAAGTCGAAGTTTTTATCCCAAATAAGTATCCTGAGGAAGAATATTCTGCCTCCCTCTGCCCCCTGGATGGTGAATGACATTCTCTTTTCAAGGAAAAAATCCCTGCCCTGTCCTACCATCTGCATATTTCCCACATTTGGTGACTAGTAGACAATGTTGTGTAAGTATTATAAGTATTATACCTGCTTTCCTCTCCTTCCCTTTCTCTCATTAATTAATTTATTCTATAAGTGTCTATTGACTCCCGCCATTAAGTCACACACTGTGTACAGAGGATAAGAGGATAAAGGAGACTAACATCAAATAAATTAACAAATAACATGATTTCACGTATTGGTGAATGTCATGAAGAAAATAAGACAGTAATGGCATACACTGAGGTTATGGGGGTGTACTGCTGTAACAAATGATGGCAGGAAAGGTACCTGGGAAGGTGGCACTTGAGCTGAGACTCAAATGGTTTGAAGGAGCCAGCCATGTCAGAGTTTGTTACAAAATGTGCGTTTTTCAGAAGGGAACAGCAAGCACAAAGACTGTGGCAGGCACACCAAGGCACTATAAAGAAAGCTGGTGCCACCAGGGCAGTGAATTGAGGGAAGGGCACCTGTCACCATGTCTTTGAAACTGTTGCTGTCTCTCCAGTCATGTAATCATGACTGGGTAAAACTGCATAGGAATCATGTTCTTAACTGACTCTAGACTCCTTGCTTATTTTAGACAATGCTACACCAGTCAACCTTGTGTTGGGTAATAGATGTATCATTTATTACTTTTATTAATAAGTGTTCCCATTACTTATTCACTGTGTAATGATGGACTCATCCAACACTGATTTCATGTTGATATATTCCAGGTAGAGCTCCCACCATCAAGAGGTTCAGTGTCTACTGGAGAAAATTTGTAAAAAGAAAACAACTGCTGTACTTGGTGCTGCGGATTTATTGCAGGGTAGGCGAGTGGGGCTGGAGGAGGAGAGGCACAGTTTAAAGAAGATTTCCCAGTGGAGGTGATATATGAGCTGACTCTTGAGGGATGAGTAAGACTGTCGGGCATTTAAGTGGGGAGGGTCTCTCTGAGGGTCAGGGCCTGGCACAGAGACAGGAGGTAATGAATTAGAGGGTTGCTGATTATGGCTGGATGAGCAGTTCCTAAGAAGTGTGCAGTGAAGTCATTCGGAGGGCAGGTGAGAAGAGAACTGGGGGCAGAAGGAGGCAAAGAGGAGGAGCCGGGAGAAGCCCGGGAGGGGCGAGGCACCTCTTCAGGAATATAGACAGGAGTGAATGGCCGGGCAGCGTCCCAGGAGGCAGTAGGAGGGGCGATCTGGAGCTCTGCTCTGCGGAGGCGATGCTTCACACAGCTGTAGGAGGGAAGACAGAGATTGTTGTGGGTGATGGAAGCAGTGTTTTCCAAACACTGCCTGTGTCCTGGCTGCAAAAAAGTCAGCCATGGAGCTTTCTGGATGTCCAGATTCCTGGGTCCCATCTCCAGAGAGTCAGATTCAGAAGGGCTAATGTGGGCATAAGAAATCTGAATTTTTAAAGCATTCCTGGGTGATTCTAACGCACAAACAGATTTAGATCAAGGCAAGAGGGTGGCCAGCAGGAGGGGCAGAGAGAATAGTCAGAGTCCAGCAGCAGTTGCTGAAGGCCCTGATTAAGATGGTAGCAGTGAGACAGGACAGGAGAGAGAAGGATTATAAAGATGTGTAAGCAGGTAGGTTGTGTCAGTAAATCTTACAGATTTGGGAGTTTAAAGAGCAGTTGAAGGTGACTTTGGGTGGACAGATGGTATGACCATTCACTCAGATAGGGAATGCAGAAAAGGAGGAGCTCATTTTGGGGAAAGGTGAGGTTGATTTTGGACGTGTTTAATGTCGAGGAATCTATAAAGTCCAGTTGGAGATACCCAAGGAACATTTGGAGAGAGGGAACTGCACTGGGCATGAACAGTTAGTTAAGTGGGAGGTAGGCCCTGGATGTGAATGAGGACACAAGAAGCAGTGAGTAGAGGTAGAAGGCCAAGGACAAAGCTAGGCAATTCCAATATCTAAGAGATAGTTGAGAAAGAGGAG